TGGTAAAAGTCGAGGCGATGGGGCGCCTTCATCTAGTCCGCGCTCTCATCGATAGTTGCTGCGCCACCACGATAATCTCAGCGGACCTAGCTCGGGAGTTGAGGCTGGAACAGACACGGGTCGGAAATCAAACGGGTTGCGTCTTATGCCTTCGAGGAAAGCACGGCGACAATAAACGTATTGCGACCCACGCGACGGTTAAAAGGAACTACCACCGCGTATCGCCAGCCAGCAACGTAGATCCTGCCGTCGCCACAGCATACCAGCACATTCGGTTGGCCGACCCACACTTCTACAGTTCGACTCCCATTCGCCTAGTCCTTGGCATTACGTTTACGCCGACGTAATCCTGCCGGGTATACTTCCAACTTCCTTTGGGCCTCTGCTAGCTCAGAGCACCATCTTCGGATGGGTACTCTCTGGCGTTACCAGAGCATAAACATAAACGATACATTTATATTTATAACTGTTCTGATTGAATGAATTTCTACATATGAATTTTTTGAAGTTTATTTTTATGAATCTTTCTTCTTAATAAAAGTGCACTTGAAAATGTCCACGTATCTTTACTCTTATATTTTACATCTCTTTCCCTCAAGCAGCAACTTAGATTCGAGGAGAATGCAAGTGAAACGATGCGGGACGACGAACGAGGAATCTGGCTCCTCTCCAACGAAACCAGAGAAACATATTTTTTATGAATTTTTATAATATTTTGTTTGGACATGTTAATAGTTGATCTGGTAGTTGCTGCATAAATTTTGGATGTTGCTTGCCGCAAGGGGGCCGGTATGTTTAGGCCTTCGCCCTAAATATTTCTATATTTTTTCGACCCGCCCTAATGTTGGCATATGTGCACATGTACACACACATACATGTGCACACGTATTATTATTAACTCGCGCCGTTAACTGATGTTTCCCGCCGGATAATAACCTATCGTTAAGTTTCCCCTTAATATCGGTTGTTGTCCGGCGGTCCGATTTAAAATCCCGCAAATCCTTAACTTCACTTCGGTTTAGAAGATCAACGCGAGCAGACCAGCAGCTACCAGGCCACTGTCACTAAGGTAACAACATTGTCATTTATACCAATATTTATTTAACTCTGACTGAATATTTTATATTAAACAAATATTAAAAAACAAATATTTCGCTTTGGTTTTTATTTCCATTCGTTATCACCTGCACCGGAGCGTTATTCCCGATACGCGCCCCCGTGCGAGTTCAGTAACTTTCGTTAAGTTTCCCCTCCAATAAGTTACCGTACAGTGGGGCTTATTGTTAGAGGCTGGAAAGACAGCCGTAACTTATGTATGTGTTTGTGTGCTCTTACATCAAGTGACAAAACGCGGATTAGGGTGGTGCAATATATTTAGGTCGCGGAACTAAACAGATTTAATTATGGCGATAAAATGCAATTATAATTTGTAGTTTTTGCAGTATAAATTTCCATTATGTACGCACATACATATCTGTGCCGTTCAATTAAAGTAGCTTAAATGGCTTTAAAAGTTTGACTATGAATTAATGAATTTGCAGTTTTCCTTGCAAATTTTTATATTTTTATTAAGCTTCTATTAAAAGGGCATCTTGAACTACACCTGTGGCTAGTTAAACGTTAAAAAATGGTTTGGAAATCCTGTGAAATGTTGCACTAAAAGCAAAAGAGTCTATCCGAACTTAACCTACTTTAATTGAATAGCACATATATATGTGTGTATGCATAGATAAATATTTCTACACAAAATCAATAAACTATGACCTCTTTCGAGGTTCACTAAACCGTTGCTGATTACTTTGATAAATGTTATGGTATCCAACTTGTTAAAATAATTTTCCCAATTAACCGCATCCATCAATGTCAGCAGTTTGCATGAGACGCGGTCAAGCATGTACACTAGGGTGTTCGAATATTCGCCTTTTTCGAAAACCGGTTGTTGACTTACTCGAAAAATGAAAGTTGGAAAAAAACCGGTTCTCTGTTTTCATATTGGGAAAAACCGTATAAATTGCTTTTATTTGACATATACTTTTATATAAGGACAACTACTATTAATCAGAAACTATGATCATAATTACCATATGACTACTAAAAAGAGGTATGGCTTTAATTTAGATATAAATAAAGCAAAATATACATAAGTTCCAAGTATTGTGGATTGCAAGTAAAACAGAAAAAAGAAATTATTGAAAAATTTCAAAATGAATGGGCTTCACTGATCTTAATAAGACTAGGGATTTAAAACAACTGTGCTTTGTTGGGAAAAACTGGACTTAAGACAGTAATGCGATCACAACATCCGCTGTACGAGACCGATTATGCAAATATACATAGTCTATTATATACAGGTCACTCATCGAGAATCAGTCAACGCCTTCGTCAACTCTCGCCCCTTGAGATCCACCATCGGAGAAAAACGACACCTACCGAAATCGAAAATCCCGAGTTACTTCTTTAGGCTCACGATACTTTGAAGCAAATAAATAAATATTTTGAATGTTTAGAAAACCCGGTTTATTCGATTGTAAAATTTCGGTTTAGCCGGTACTCGAAAAATCATGACCGGTATGGAAAACAATAGTCAAATCCCCCTAATACACATTTGCATGAGTACCCTGCAGGGATACAGCGAACTAGTGAATCAAATTTCTGGATCTTTATCGGCAAAAACGAACCATCCGATAGTAACTAGATCCGCACCAGGCCAAATTCAACGAAACTTGGTACTTTTAAATAACTATTTTGGCTTACGTTTTTCATTAGAAATCTATATACAAGGTGACGAATTTAGAACTGGTTCGGAACTATAGATAGGTGTTTGGCAGCTTTTTCGTTCAAATACGCTTTCATTTTCTACACTTCGCAGATTCTGTTTCACAGTTTGGTAATACAAAACACAACAAACTGTGTTAACATTTTAAAATTTTGGGGCCTTCTGCAATCAAACCGATAACAGCAAGCACCTCTGCAAACGCAGCTACAGCCAAAGGTATGTAAACGGAAATTTCTTACGAACACAAATTTACTTTCAAATTGAAAACACATTTCTGTGAAAATTATTTAAAATCGCATGCATAGAAAAAACAAAAAGATTGAAAAAGTCATCACACTTTTCTCGTCTGTCGATTTTAGAACTGGTTCAGAACTATAGAGCTTTGAACTAGTGCGGAACTATCGAAAAAGGAATGCAGTGGAGGGCAATTGACACTTCCTAGGACATGGCAATGTTAAATTCACCAGTTGCTAGCATGCAAAAGAGAATTAACGTGAACTTGTCATGGTTCTAAATTCTCTAGTGCTAAACCAGTTCGGAACTAGTGCGTTTCCCGACAGGGTAAAAATGCAAAGTTAAACCCCGATTTAGATAGTACTCAAAAGCATAGTTAATGACGTCAATGCGACTCATCCTGGATACAGTATTGTTTGATAGTGAATTCGAGTACTTACATATGTATGTAGATTCACTAAGTATGAATAAGTGGAGTCACCTCCAGTTTTAATACATTATTTAATTCATTTAATTTAATCTATCATAAAAAATTGCGCAAAGTTATTTGTTAAGTCACCACAGTAGCACAAAGAGGAGACACTGAGATAAAACTTAGTAAAACGCATGATATGTAAAGGTGATGGACCCTTGAAAAATCCCGGATATTTTTTTAAGGAATCTGAAATTGGATAGTAATTAATGGTTTCGAGCTTCACTGCAACTCCCTAGCTAGCGCTCCCGTATTATCTTGCTAATATTTTTATGTTATTTTTAATATTATAGAAAGAATTTCGTTAAAGAAAACTATGGATGTGTCTAACTTTTCCGTCATACCTCTGTCAAACTAAAGGTCAGAATTATAGCTATTGAGTCAAAATGATTATAATAGCGTCATGATGGAATTCCATCATATTAATTTTAATTTTTTTTTACAAAAATACCTGTTTTGATCACAAAAAAAATATATTTTTACATAGTATGCGAAGACATAAGTATATCCAACCATTATTTCCTTTTTTGTTTCATTTCGGAGCTTGCATATTTATTTGCATAAGCAGGTTCTTCCTACGGTGACGGAAAATATAGGTTTACGAAAATGTTCCGAAATTCGCAATAATTCGCAAACTCGAGCCAATTTGACAAAGCTGAGGGTATATCGAAATTAGCGCCTTAAACACACCTTAGAAATATTAATACTGTTCTTGCCTTCTTTCGTCTGTAGACCAGCGAAATAATGAATAGAACAATCTCTAGGTTTGTTGAAATAAGGTAACTTTAAGAGGGTTTCTGGTTTAATTCTCTAATATAAACACGTTTTCCTAAACCTTGAATTCGTAACAAGGATTCGCATTATCTGACTAGTGTGCTTTGTTACACTTGGTGGTCCATGCGCGGGCTCTTGCGCTTCAAATAAAACGATAATATTTTATAGGCTTGTAATTGGCCTTATAAAACAAAATCTTTTCACTATTACAAAAAGATTAAATGAATATAAAAATTCCGACCCGTCCTAATATATATGTATGTATGTGCATAAACTTATTCAATTCTGAGTAGATAACTAAAATTTCAATCGTTCAGAAGCGCTGCAGCAGATATTATAGCATTAACACTTAGTTGGATGCATGACTCTGAATACGTATAAATATATGTGTATATATGTATGAATAAATATCTATAAAACATCGCACACACGGAAATACACCGCCACAGCTGCTGCTATCGTTATTGCTATTCCATCAAGTGTGAGTAATTCCTCTTCAGTGTTGCATTCTTCCTGCAGACTGTCCAATCGTATCTACCTTAACGCATAATACTTTACACACATACATGCATACACACTTATGTACATATTAACATTTCCCCATTCGTACAGCTGCACTTTGCGAAATTCCCCAAACGCTTGTTATACCAGCTACTACTAGTTATAATTGCTCTTTTGTGTTAGCGTGTTATTTTTCCCCCATTCTTCGTATTCGCTTTCTACTTCTCTTTCATATTGCTGCAATTACTCACCCAGATATGTGTCATGTTGTGGCATATATTCTTGCATCTCGGACAATAGCACCGCTATGTCCTGTGAATCCTTTGTAATGCTGCATAATTCCTCTTGATTGAAGTCGGACGTTATTTGTTTGCATAGCAGTATTTGACTGATGACATTGCCGAGATTTGAGGGACCAGCGCGATTTTCTGTAAAAAAATATGAGGGCACGAATGTAAGAAAGAATTCAAAATAAGGGATTTTTTGGATTTTAAAATTAAATTAAATTGCGATTACGAAAATATTTATTAAATAAATTGATTTCCATATAATTTCAAAATTTTAACCGCTATGATTTCGAGATAAAGAGATACTGACTCTTCATATTTTGTGGCATTTAATGATAGAATAGTAAACGCAATTTTTTCAATTATTTTTAATTTAAATTATAGAATTAACTGGGTTTTATTATTTTTTGGTTGTTTCGAGACCTTTCGAAATTATCTCGTTTTTTTCTAAATTTTTTTCCCGGTTTTCAGATTTCACCGGATTTTCGGATTTTTTTTTGGACTTTGCGGAGTTATTATGACTATTGGCAGTTTTTGGACTCCACTCTGTTCAATTGATCCCGAAATCCCTAAAAATAGATCCCGAAAGTCACAAAAAGTTCATACAATTCAGAAAAGTATCAGATCCCAAGTTCCAAACAGTCCAGAAAATTTCAAAAAACTGTCAATAGATTATGTAGGTACCAAGGCATATAAAACAGGTAGTAGCATTAGAGCAAATACCACATTTGCGTGTATTTTGTTGTTGCTTCTGCTATCGAAAGTGTCAAACACTTTTCTGATTTTTTTCTTCTAAATCAAACCCTGCCATGTGAAATTAAAAAAAAAACAAATAATAATAAAAAATTAAAAATTGAAATTGCAAAAAATAAAAATTGTTGCAACTTTCTTTCTTAGTAAATTTGTTTGCTTCTCGAAGCATTGATTCGCTTCAGTACACTTCTTTGAGAATTTTCAAACTTCAACCATTTTTCTCATTACAAGCCATTAAATAAAAACTTTATCACTACTTCCCTTCGTAACTAAAAAACATAAATAAAATTTTACACTGTCGCAGCACTAACTTTACGAATAATTTAGTAAATAGTTAGCGTAAACGATTTGCACTGATATCTTACCAAAATTGAAATTTTATGTGCAAACATTCTCAAACTCTCGCTTCGTAATGCACAAAAACACTAAATTATTTTACGAATTTGGTGCATCTCTGTCGTAGATGTAGTAACGGTAGTGCCACCCCTGCAGAAGAAATTATCAACTGATAAAAAATAAACCACTTGTAGTTAGCTTATTTGTGGGAGTTCGATTAAATATATAACTTTTAGTTAACTACAAAAATCTAACCAGAAATTAGTTGAAAAGTAATGCAGAAGTCATGCAGACGTAATCGGCGGTTTGTTTTCTTTAAAAAAAATTTTTATTGAAATATTCTCATGAAAATTTTATTTTGAACACACTTTGTTTCTGCATTTCACAAATGCTTTTCCGAATTCAGGACAAATAAATTGAAGATCGAAATATTGTATTTTCATTTTGAAGATATGTCTGACGGGATTCGAATTTGGGACCTACCTACAAATAAGTAATTTTAAATAAGGTAAGTTAATAAATTACTAAAAAAAAATTGAAAGCATTTATTTTTTTATTGATATTTTATGTCCAAATTAGCTAGTTACAAGTTAATCACACCTTGACTATTTGAATCATATTTAGCTTTTCTCAAATAAAATATACAGATAAAAGTGACCTTTAGTTACTTCCTAATCAACTTTAAGTTAAATTATAATTAGATACATTTCCTGCAGGGAGATATCAACTATGTAGCGGTAGAAGTTTAACCCAAATGCAATCAGTGCACGCGCAAAGCATTTAAATTGCTAGAAAAGCAAACTTTTGCAATGCGACTGAGTCAAAGTATGTATGTGTTGTTGTTGGCGCGCTACAGAGAGTTGCTGAGTGTATTTCGGTAGCAAAACTGTTAGTGAAAGCGAACGTAATGCGCAATGATCTTGAAGAAGTTTGCAATAATGCTTACAACGAAACAAATACTAATTTAACTAAATGGCAAGTCGGCTCACGCACATGCACACTCAGAGCTGTGTAATGATTGAATCAATTGAGTGTGCATTCTCATTTTTTTCGTTTCAAAAATGTGATTGTTTGATTTAAAAAATTTAACAACCACTCTTGAGATTGGTTGCAAATTGTAAACACAAAATATGTAGTGTGTTATGGAATGGTTGACACCCATTCACATAGAGATTGTGAATGCAAAAAGAGAACTCATTCATGTATGATTGGACGTTTATGGGAATGCAATCTGTCAATATCATTCAGTACTAATACTATTTGTTGTATCAGGGTTGAAATTTTTGTACTCAAAATGTGAAACCAGAAGATTGCCATCTCCCTCAAAATAAGTAAACAAATAAATATTTGGTGCTAAAATATTTTTCTAAGTGTTTGGCCGAACTTCTGCTCAAACTTGAGGCATGAGTTCTGATTTTATAAGAAGAGTTTTCAAGGCAGAAATATACTCGAAGGTTTGCCATTGCGTGCCGAAGGACGACTGCTATTTTGGGTTATGATCTGACCAGGTATTTAACCATGGTCCTATGGAGTGGAAGTACGCACATGTAATCACTATGCTACGGCGGCCGCCGTAAGTACATGCTATACATATCGTCGTTTAAAGTACAAAACCGCGTATCAAGAAATTGCAAAACCCCGTAATTGCATAAATTATTTTCTATAGAGTAAAGTCACCCATATTTCAAAATGGTTATCTTTTTTATAAAGCAAACGTATTTCTGGCTAGTATATTTCAGGACGAATGGATAAGAATTGAGCCAAGAGCTTTTGTGAGCAAATCCAATTTTTGGCAGCCAATGTCAGTCACACGGTTTTGCAGAATGACGATACGCGGTTTTGTACTTTAAACGACGATATATATGTACACATATTAGATTATTTATTCTCAAAATGCATGAAAACTATAGTATGCTTGCAAACAATTAATAACATTTTGTGATAAACAGTTTTACAAATGTATTTGCACTTCAAATTTGTATTTTAATAAAGTATTAATTAAATAAATTATTATTGTAAATTATTATTTTAATAAATAGATATAAAGATATTTATACTTGGCAACTCTTGGACTTTTCTTCATTTGTAACAAATGACAGATGTATACAAAATAAAAAAATAATTGTATTTTTAAAATTTAAAGCAAACGGGTGTTCTTTACAAAAAAATGTAGTTAGGGATCGAATTTCGCATATTTTTTTTACAATATCAAGTGCCCACAAGAAGTGTTAAGCCCATAAATAGCTTAAAAAACGCTTTCGAAAATTCGAAACGACAGTGAAGTGCAGTGTTCAATTGTGATCGAAATTGCAGGCAAAATTTGTGCGTATGTAATTAATATTTTACTTATTTGAAGAAATGTTGCCCCTTGTCATTAAAAATAAGCAAACCAAGACCCCCGCGTCCCAGTGGTTACATAATACTTGAATAGTCCCTTAATTAACATGTGTTTGTTTTGAGAACGCACGGCCAGTTAAACAGGCATGTCTGAATCGATTTCCTTCATCATTCTTAGCTATTTGATGTGCATTTTTATTGTTATGTGTTGCAAACAGACATTTTAGGAACTAAATGGGTTCTAATCTATGTACTCAAGCGCACTTATTTTTAACAGTTTCCAGTTTATGTAATATTAATCAAAACAGCTTTTATTTATTTTATGTATTATGTGATTTCTGGAAGCGTTGAATACAAAAAAGGGCTGTGACTGGGTTTATGTAATTTGAAATTGTGTTGATGATTACTAATAATAATAGAAAGACGCTTACATATCGACACAACTAAAAATTTCATATATTTCAGTAGAGCCAATTAAAGATTTTTTGTTTCGTAATTTAGCAATAATATGTCTTGGAACGTAATTATTCCGGATTATATGCAGTCATACTGTAAGCTTTCAAATTATGTATTTTTCTAAACCTGAAATTTTGAATTGCGCCGTTATTGCAGAGGACCATCGACATATGTTAGTGTTTGGCCCAGCTACTCCTCCGATTGTGGCATGCGCCTTGATGTTGTCGCACAAAGGGAAGGGACCTACAGTTTTATTTTTTTTGTTGGCCGGAACTGGGCTCGGACGCTCACCCTGCGGAATG